TTTACAGCTATCAATTTTAATTAAGTACCTACTGTTCTTTAAGTCAAAGCGAAATGACGTTACGTGACAAGACATCCAAGTAGAATAACATATAGCCCTTTTCATTATTTACACTTACAACAATACTTTTCGAGTTCTATTTTACGAACATTAAGTTATGCAGTTTTAATTAAGTCTTGGAGTGTGGTGGTTACTTTTTGATGGAGTCCATGAATTATTTGTAGAAATACTAGAAGTTCGAGTAGACGTGAAGACACCCTTCTTACTCAATTTTTTCTAATGCATTATCAGACAGCAAAATTGCAACAGATTTTATTAAATTAAGATAATGGTATTAAATTTATGTCTAGTTTATACAAATCCAACAGAAACGTACAGATACTTTTATATTTCCCAAATGAAAATTATACAAGGTTTTGACATCAAACCATTCCAATCTTTCAAAAATACACTTATACATTATTTTACTTGTAGGTAAAAAAATAATAACAAAAAAAGGAATAATTAAAAAGTACACTTCAATCTCGTACCCGAGATAAATATGTTCAGTCTCTCAGAGTCTCTGAAAGCGAGACTCGAGTCTCCGTCTCTCATCGAGTCTCTCTGGTGTTGCTGAGAGAGACTGTCGAGAGACTGTCAAAATAACTGTTTAGCGTATCTGAACAAGAGACTCGAATCTCTCAATAAGTGGTATCTAAATAGACATGGTTAAAATTTTTTATGTTCAACATATTTCAGAGATCCCAGTCTTTCTACGAGAGACTCGAGTCTCTCAATTTTTCAGTTTTATTCATTCAGTCTCTCTGTGAGAGACTCGAATCTCTGAATTAACAATTTTATCGTTCGAGTTGCTCATACAGAGACTGTGAGAGATCCATAAAAACACCTAGGCAATAACTGAGAGACTGTGAAAGACTGTGAGAGACGCTCTCAGAGACGCTGAAAGACTCTGAGAGACTGAAAAATTTTGTCTAGGGTACAATTGTGACTGAATTCATCGATCAGAAGTGTGCATACGAAGAATGAAATATTTAACAAAATTTACACTGCAATAAGAAACATATTAATCTTCATAAAACTTGCAACAAGTATTGCTACAATCAGCAACATTTTTCTGATTAACTATTTCTTTTCATATTAGTTATGCCACCAAGATATGGTAGAAAATGAAATGAATTAATAATGTTTTTTGTCTTTACTCACAAAAAAACAACAACAGCAATTAAGTGGTTGAACTATGAAGCAATGGTTTTCGTATAAAACATACGCTTTCACATTTCTGCAATGCTTCTTAAAAAATATATCGTTTAATTCGGAAATAATTGATAGTTTGATTGTCTAGCTATTATTACTGATTTAGTATGGTGAATACAATGCAAGGTCCTTTCATCAAAACAAAAGCACTTAACTGTTGTGTACATTTAAACATAAAGTACATTTACCCTTTTCATCATTTTAACTGGCTTGAATAGATATTTACAAATTCCCTTAATGTTCAATTTCCATACTTATTTTTTACTTATTCTGGTAGCTTGGTTGTTAAATTATTTTCTTAAATCCTTCCAATATTCCAAGTATTGTTTCCTAATTCCATTTTGAAGGTTCATACAAAGTTAATGATTGATATATTGGTTGTAATTATATCAAGCTATCAATTATATAACGTAATAATACATTATAAGGAATTAAAATACCGACTACTTATGTGTGTGATACTTCTGATAGCAAGTAACTAATCTCTATAGTGAGTTAGTAATTTATAAGTAACTAGTTGTGCCCGCATCCACTTGCGTCGCAAAATTGATCTCCACGAAAAGCCCTTTTACTATAATGAACTAAAAATATGTCCACCCTGAAGGTCCACTCAAAACATTGGTGAAATAATTTTTGAAAACTGAAATTACCTCCTACATCTCCAAACTATTAGTGTAGAACACCTAAATAAACAAAATTAATTTATGATAATGCTCAATATCATTCGTATTAGTATTTTATGTTTGAGATGATGGTTGGATCATTTTCTACATCAAATTACTATCAAATCTGGAATTTCCGCGGCACTACTATATGAATTATAAATTTAAAAATGATTTTATTTTAGAAGTTACATCAGCTGAACTGTAATCAACGTAATAAACGTGTAATTAATTAACTTTCGAGCTTTCTGTTAGTTATATTTGAAATTTTATTTCCGACGTTTCGCATGAAACTGCAGCTAGTTCAAAGATAATTTCAGTCGAGACAACCAGTTCGTTACCATTGACAAAACAGAACGTTGGAAAAAAATTGCGAAAAACAACGACCACAAAGCCCAAAATGTTGAAACAAATTTCTCAAGAAGCTGGTCGTGAAAGCCTACACTCATTTACAAAATGTAGATCGTTAATGTTAATACAATCTTACAATACTAACTTCGCAGAAGTAAAATTATATATAACTTTCTCGTTGAAGATATTAATTTTTGATACAAATAATTATACAATGGAAAACATCGACAGAGTTGTCAAACGATCCTGAAACATTGAATTTCGCAGGAATGTCTTGATTACTTTTGTTGAAAATTATGTTTCCGAAGCAGTATGCAGAGCTATTCCGTGCGACACAGTTCAATGATACGTATATACCACGACGGGCTTGACCAAAGATGCAATAAATTATTATATGAACATATGTTTTTATAATATTACGTAAATGTGTAAATTTATAGCAGTTCTCCACCATCACACTGTTGCTATTACTTCTTAGATCGGTTTATATGCATAAGCACAATCTTCCAATAATCTGACAGTATTTTTAGTTCAGCATAACATTTAATCATTAATGAAAATCAATCAATACTGTAGAGTTAATACAATAAAAAATATACAATCATAGACTACAAGAACAATTTTGACGATGTCAAGAACATTGTATTAAAAAATTATAATAATTAAACTTTATAAATTCATAACCTGTCGCGACATCTATTCAGCTGAAAGAGGAAGTTGCTATTTGTGACCTGTTACTAGTCTTTTAAAACTTATTATTGATTGATTGTTTTCATTGTTCCAAAAATCGCGCTGATTCACAACTAACTAAAAGGAAACTTCCTTTAGGTTTAATTTAATTATAACACACTCTGTTTAATGTTCTTCTCTTTAAGGATGTTTGGGAGGTATATCAAAATGCTACGAGATAAATAAAAATTTGGAAGAACGTTCCTCATTCAATTCTTAAACTCCTGTAAAAATTACAAATCGATTCACTAAACTGTTAAAATGTTATTGAAATTTTAAAAAATTGTAATTTTACACGTCATCTTATGAAGATTCGTTCACCGAACAGATTAAATTTATTTTTATTAACAGAAAAAAAGTTACCAGAAATTTCAAACTTTTATAATAAGTAACTTGAACTCTGGAGAATCACTTTAGCGTAAGGTTATTCAAATTCACTAAATGGTTATCGAGGAAAAAATGAAAAATTAGCTGAAAATCTCGTTTTTACTTGATAATATAATGATAATATTTATAATTGTCTGAAATAAATGCAATTTTAAAGTTTTAATTATTATTTAAACATATTAAAAAGTTTTACGCTCATTATTAATAGAGATTGAAACTAAATATTTTTTTGTTTCGAAGTTGAAATCAAGGCATATTCACTGCCAAAAGTCAGTTAAAAATTTTCCATATTATTCGTTATTTCTTATTTTATTCAAAGTTTTTGGTCAAATTCCAAATTTTCTCTCAAACCGTATACTTTTTTTTAGTATAGATAGTATTTATTTACCTCATGATATGCTGCAAAACCTAATTAATCACGAATTTCTAATTTTATGTACTCTTGTCTCCGATTGTACCTCCCAAACATCCTTAACTTACATTGGGAACAGAGGGGTTTCCAATTAACAGCAACGAGTTTATGTATATAAGCACGTATGTGAAGCTTTTTCTGGAATGGAAGCTAATGATATTTTATTTTACGTTTTCTATTGTTATTAGTCACGTACATTAGCTGGTTACATTCCTCGATAGAACGGTATGACCGTAAATATGTGCCTACTAAATTATTCAATTACATATTTCTCGTTTTTTTATGGTATATTTACGCACCACCTATGTACGTACTTGCATTCTAATGCAATTCAATATACCAATGGCTGTTACGTGTAGGTATATGTCGCAGGAAAATAATAAAAATCGTTCTTTAATTAAAAATTTTGGAATTCTATTAAACGCCAACAAAATATTTCTTAACTACGTGTTTTAGCATTTTAAATAAGAAGCAGATTTACACTTGGATTGTGCACCCTTTTAAAGATTAGGCTATGGCTGATATGAAACTTAATTTAAGAGTAGAAGTCAATTAACGGGTTTTATTTTTACCCTGCTACATTTGCACATACGTAATATCTGAGACTGTTGCCTTGTTGAGACAATTAAAGGGCTAAATAGAGAATAATAATTTCAGAGCTAAGTTTTACTTATCGATTTCGGTATACATAGTTCCACACAAAACAAGTTTTTTCAATTGCAAATTGATTTGTAGCATCTGAAGTTGTTTTACACGAAAAATAGAGTCCGCAATTCTGCTAAGCTTTTAAGCTTAATAACGCTTTTTTAGACCAACCAGTAGGATTTCCATAAGTTTCTTTAACTTAGAAACAGATTACGATAAATATGTAATTCTTCCGCTATTATGTGTAAAATACTTTTTGTATTTGGAGACCGCACAGACATTTTCAAGTGCTTTTAGCATCTATTCCCTATTAATATTATCAAAAGCTTTTTCTAGATATACGAATGTAATATACACTCCCTTAACGTTGGAAAATAAACGCAAAGAATTTACTAAAAATATTTTTGTCTCAAAACTGCATATGGCCAATTATTTCTTAATTAATTATATATTGTGTAGTATCTATAGGTACTAATTTCATAAGTGAAAATTAGTGATTTTGATCAAACTATTAAAAACTTATAAGCAGATAGGTTTATATAAAAGCTTTTATTTTTCAGAAATGTCAACCTCAATCAATAAGCAACCGACATCGCTCGAATCGGGTCGACAATGGAATCATACCTCTCAAGGGCACGATAATCCTGTATTCGACACCCCCCGAAGTCGGAAAGTTTCTGCCACATCAGATCACTCGGATATGGGCCCAGTTCGCAAAAAAAGCATTCTCCACAATAACAGTTCTACAGGTTAGTTACTAAATTTCTGATCCAGAAATACATCCCGATTTTCGGAATATGCAAAATTTAATATGCGTCCCAAGTAAAAAGATCACCAAAAATCTTAAATTTTTTGAAACATCTAATATAATAGTAGAAACTTTATAAGTTTTAGCAGATAGGTACCATTATAAACCGGGCATAATCTTTACATGTTAATCATAACAATTCCCTATACCAAAACGTAACCTAGGGGTGGCCAACCCACGACCAGTCTTAAACATTTTTCCGGTCCGCAAGATTCACCATTGTTTTACAAATATATTTATTTTGTAAAAGTCGACGATTTTTGGTATCTAGGAAGTCAGATAATTCAGCATGCAAGGAGTAGTAGAGATATAAAACAGACGATAGCGCAATGACGGGTCGCCTTTAACATAAAAGGGATCACTTCTCTGCTCGTAAACGGTTAACTTAGAAATTCGAAAAAGATTGTTAAAGGTGGATGACCGAAGCACGGCGCTGCAGCGTGCATAGAGTAGTTTAGAAATGAGGAGGTACTAGGAAAGGTAGGAAAACAAAGAGCGCTTTGGAAGTCAATAAAAAAAAGGTGAGATGGATTGGTAGGATTCTCACATTTAAGGGGCTAGTTAAAGACATATTAGAATTAGAAGTAGGAGTTAAAAGGAATAGAGATAGACCTACATTAAATTATTATTCACAAACAGTTGAGGTTGTCGAATGTCCTAGTTTTAGGAAAATGCGAAGATTGGATAAGGATAGGAAAGAGTGGAGATGCGTGTCTATCAAATCTTCGAACTTCCCACCCTATGTTCATGGTAATGATGATTATAATGGTCAAAGTAGAGAACACTAATGTTTAAATGAAATACATTATTTGTACAACCATATATTCAAAAATTAACTGTTACTGTCAGAAAAAGTTAAATTTTAAAACAATTTTCTTGTGAATATGTGACAAATATTGCCTGTTTTACTAATGGTGGATCTAAATATACATATATGATTTCTTCCAAAGTGGCCCGAAAGATTATTTGGGTTGGCCACCCCTGGCCTAACTTACATCCTAACTTAAATAATACTCTAAAGACCAAACATTTAAGGTCTGGATGAACACTGTATAGAGATAATTAAACACGCTGTTTTTGTAGTGTTTAGTTCTACCTTCAGTATGTCAAAATTAGCGGTTTTTAATGATTAATTAATTTGATTAAATAATAATAATATTCTGAATATCAAAAGTAGACCCAAGGAGCTCTATCATCTTTTAATTAAACTTCCTATGGATAAGCTAATTCCAGAATATCGTATCATCTACTCAGTGACACAAAATTCAGTTACAATAAAAGGCAAAAAAGAATAATCCTATTTATCCATACATTTAACTGAAGGATCATCCACATACTGAACGGTGAAAATGAGGCAAAAATAATATTTTTAAAAGATCAAATCATTAATTTAAGGAAATATGTAAACACTGATTCACTTCAATATCCTTCCTACTTGATGAAGCTTTTATCCTGTATGTCCTGATTTTATGAGAATCCGCAAACGTAATATAAAAGGCCGAGGAATCACAAACCCGAGAGTATCTACCTATTTATAAAACTTATTCAACCGTAATGAATTGAATGGGACCCATCAAATTTTATTGTATGACAGATAAATTGAATTTATTGCTTTATTAAAGGTTTAAACTTTAGATGTCTAAACAGGATGTCTTCAAAAGCATCATATTTCATGTCAATTATTAAACAAAATTCTATAATCTGCTCTGTGCACACAGCGTACAAAATTCGTTTTTTTTACAATAAAAATCAAGTGAACGTGATAGCTGTCATCAAGAAATAATTATCAATTTCGGAAACAGATAAGATTAAAAAAAAACAATCAATCGATGCCTACATGGCTATTATTGAAGAAGAACTTTTCGGCTGTATCACCCAAGGGCAACGTTTTGTGTTCAGGGTTTATGCAAGTTATAAGGGGAGTATTTTGAAAGAAAAAATTGTAAGCAAAATAGCTTATGATTAAGTACGATTGTGTAAATAACATTTTTCCGGGTAATTCATTGTCATATCTCGTAAATACTTGAGAAGCCGTAGTACCTATCAGCAGTTTTAATCTAGAAGCAAAGTGAGTAGTATGTGTGAAATTGATAAGTACATACGTATTATTAAGTGATAAGAACCATTCTAATTTAATAATAAACATGAATTTCTTCTCCAGTGTCTGCAAATGTTTTTATTGAAGAAACAACTATCTACTTATTATTAGGTATTTAAAACAATACGTTATTAAACTGTAACTTTCAAAGTACTCGAAAAAAGTGAAAGAATGACACCCAGTTTTATCAATAAGTTGTATGTTTTTATTAGTTCTACGCCAAAAGCCACATTTTCTTTTATCACAACGGGATAAAAGTAGATAAATCTTGCGGCATTTCTTAAAGATTCAAATTTATTTTGTGTGCAATGATTGGTAACTGCTATAATTTCTTTTTAAATAAAATACGACCTCAACTTCAACTCTTTACTATGGCTATATAGTTGCATGTCATTGAATTATTTTAAGTCTTTGACTTTTTTCAATAAAACTGTCCTCCAAATTAGCCGCCCTCTACGCAATTTTCTACTCTGCTTACAAGCAAAGGCCACCACCGACTCCGTTGAAAATTTTATGATTAATTGACTTTATCCTACATCTATGCATATGTATATTTTCAGTCATATACTTAAAGCATTCGCATTCTTGCATGTAAGAAATAACGTAGATATGTTAATTAACTTCCCGGATACACCATTTGCTAAATCAGATCAGTTTAACCGTTTGTAGTCAATTGTTTCGACTTTTGCAGTAGGTGTTCGTCTAACCATGAATGCAGACTTTAAAACTTCAAAGTTTAGTTACAGAATTTCGAACAAATGCTGGAGAGGTAACTGCACACATTATTTTTTTAATTCCTTGCTTTAATTCGTGATTTTTTAAAATGTATCTTCTCACTACTACGACGCCTTGTGCCCTAATGCATGTTACTTGAGCCTTTGTGACTGGAATTAAGCATTAAAGGGAAGACCATAACAATTTTCTCAAAAATAAAATGAAAACGCAAGGAGTTGATTTCGATTGAAGATTGTAGGCCCTTAGCAAACTCAATTTTATATTTACTAGCTTTAAGATGAGTATTGTAACCCCCAACAATACTTTCTATTATATTACGTCTCAAAATAAAACTTTCTAATTAGACAAGTTTGATAATAGTCAGCTATGTTATCTTTATACATAATCTTGCCTCTACATAAACTATTATTGATTAGAATTATTAACAAAAGCAATCTATACCCATATAAAGTAAAGGTACCTACATACGTTGCACAATATTTCCCAAAACAATTTCATGTTTAGGTAATGAACCATAAGTTGTTGCCTTTTATGGGTAATAATAAAATAAGGATAATTTAGTAATAAAACAGTAACAATTTAAGTTCCAAAGCTTTACCCAAAACAAATATTTATAATATGAAAACCTCTATTCATTGTGTATGCAAAGTAATTTAGGAGAATCGTGTAATTATTTGACACACATCTTTCAAATTAACTTTACATCAAAAATTGAATTGAATAGTCATGATACAGTTACAAATACATTTGTAACATCTGATAAACAAAACAAAAAAGACGAATGAGCGAATTATTGCTTTGGTTAAAGCAATTTCTATTTTAATTTCCCATTAATGAACTTCCTAATAACTTGAAGCGTACGTTCTCAATACCCTTTACAGTATTTATTTTAAGCGTGTAGTTGAATACAACACACTTAATTAAATTAAGTAATTAACTTTGATACACCCAGAATCGTAGTTAAACAAATTNAATATTTTAAACATGTTGAAATTTGGGGAAAGTAGGTATAAGACTGTCAAAGTGAGATTACATTAACTAACTTTATGCTCCTTATAGAAAGAGACACCATACTCTGACAGCAAAAGATTTAATATATACGAATGCACCTGTTAATTAAAGATATCTAATTACAATTTATGATGAATCAGTAATTATTTAGCAACAAAAAGCATTACGTTATTTTATGCATTTACCATAAATGGAAGGTAATTTATCGCAAAATAATGAACTGTATAGGTACTTACTGTTTTTAATGAAACCATAAACAAACAATTATGATTAGAATCACGTTTTGATTTGATATACACATGCCTTTACCTGAGCCTACTTGAAAATATAGGTTACCTTGTTTTGGTAAGGCTATGGGAAGTAGCGGCCCATTGTTGAATCATAAAATACTTCCGACAAAACAAAAACAGTAGGTCTAATAGTGACATTGTCGGAGGACAATAATCGAAAAACAAATAAAAAAAAAAGAAAACAAAGGATTTGATCGCTGTACTTAATTAATCCATTAACCGATTCCTTCGGAATTAATGTATTTGGTATATTATCCCCACTCGTTTTAATTAATCGGAACTACAATTTACAATGTTTCGTTCAGAAGTTAAAAGATTTTAGTGTGTTGATACGCATACCGTTCGGTAACTTTTACATAGTTTGTTGTTAATGGCTCATGGATCTGTTTCGTTCACTGAAACGTAAGCATGCTTACAGATTAGTATAAAATATATCATAACATTTTGAACTTGCATTTCCCCATTTTGTAACATTTTAATTTTAATGGACTCTCTTCCTTCCACTTTTTTTATTTTATAAATAAACAACATCTATTTTAATTTCCCATTAATGAACTTCCTAATAACTTGAAGCGTACGTTCTCAATACCCTTTACAGTATTTATTTTAAGCGTGTAGTTGAATACAACACACTTAATTAAATTAAGTAATTAACTTTGATACACCCAGAATCGTAGTTAAACAAATTTGCAATCAACCATGCATGTCCTACGTTTTTAGCCAATTATTCCGTCGCTACTACATTAGTAGTAGTTGCTGTTAGAAACTTATTGAATTTGTTACAACTTGCATCTTAAGTTTCAAGTTTCATAAAACATTAGTTCCCTTTATTGCCGTATCTAATAAACTCTTGCAATTATAAATAGTCACGTACACAAGAAAATGTGAAAAATCGGTTATGAGGGAAAAAACATCGTAACGATTAAGGTGTGTTACAAGTACCTTAAGCGACCTTGGACAGTTTAAAAGAACTGATCTAAACTTACCATAATCAGTCGTTTAACGTGCTGGCAGTGTGTGTTTGAGTCCATAGAATGTCGAAATGTTATCATCTGAAATTAAAAGACGTTTAAATAAAGATGTGCGATAACTACGGCTTCTTTACAGATCTTGGAAGGCACATTGGAGATGAACGGTCGAAGAAAACGTCAGTTACAGAATCAGTGCATTCACGAGCACGATTTTCTGATATAGAAGAAGAAAATAGGTGAGTCCTTATCAGATTTATAATGATTAGTAGTCTTAGAGTGATAAAATTTGTAATCCTAAATTGAAGTGCATATAAGTAACTGTATGAAATATTTTTTTTAAGAGGTCCAAATATTTATTCTATTAAATTATTTTGTGGTAGGAATGAATATTCCAAACGAAAATATAAAAACGACTTATACTTTACTTTAACCTAATAATTCACCTCTAGGTACATTATTAATAAGTAAGATAGTAAATGGGTTGAGAGCTTCTGTTTCTATTTTTGCTAAAATTATTGGCGGAATCAATCAATCAATAGATATTACATTTTTAAGTAATTATCTGAATAGGTGCAGTTATCGCATTAATATCATATGGACACACTAGTGAGCTTTTGATTGATTAATTATGTAACATCATATTGCAAAACATCAGGTAATTTCGAATTCAACAATTAAACATGTATCTTTAATTCTATTACTGAAAATTAAGAATGCTGCATATTTATTTTGTTATAAAGTAAACCAAGCCATTTAAAGTGGCTACAAATTTTTTGATTTCGAATTAGTAAGTATTTAAAATAATTATTTTCAGGCATTTGTTGTTCCTATTTAAGAATTAGCACAGAGAATATCATGAAAACATTTTCTAAAAAGGAAAAACAATTCACATAAAAGAAAAAAAAATAATTCTAATTCGAGATGGATCGAGATTCTTTCAGAAATGAATACAAATTATATTCTTGAGTCGAGTTTCAATGGTATTATTTCCGATTCCATGACTAGTTTTTCCGTTATAAGGGTCGTGAAAGTTGACAAATATTGATTTGTCTATCGGGGCTAGTTGACCGATTTTGATGATTGAGAAGTCGATTCTTATAAAATGTACCATGCTTAATACGGATATGCCTTCATATTCAAAAGCTCTTTAACTTTTCCAATTTAAAATAAAAAAGTTATGATTGATTTTAATGAGTAATATTAAAATTGTATCAAAATACATGTGACATTCAAATTCAGCATGCCAGAATTAGTCAGAATCGAGTCATATATTTAAAATTTAAAAAAATTAATATAAGTCAACTTTAACGCTCCCTGGAGGAATAGAATCAAACAGTGCCCCATTGAAACACAACTTAAGTGTACCCCCTCTATTTATTTCTGCAATAATCTCAAATAACTTATATCAAAGATGAAATTCGCAATGCACTGATTTCTCTTATTTATTTTGACAGTCAAAGGAAATGAGAGGGTGACATGAATTTTCAGAAATATTTATATTTATCTAAATTCCACAATTAATAACGATTACTTTTTCAAATTTTGATTTTTTTTATGGTAAATTTTAGAAAGGAGATATAATAGCTAGAACCCTCTAAATGCGATCCACGATCCATCAACTATTTAGTAATTCAAAATTGTATTCAATTTACAATATTTGGCATAAATACATATGTACATGTATGTTTAACTTTTATAATTTAATTTCTAGCTTTTATTCCTTTTAGTGAATGTAACATATTTAAATTTTCTTAGGGAGCTTTTGACATTTAAATTTATGTATATTAATAAATATTTTAAACATGTTGAAATTTGGGGAAAGTAGGTATAAGACTGTCAAAGTGAGATTACATTAACTAACTTTATGCTCCTTATAGAAAGAGACACCATACTCTGACAGCAAAAGATTTAATATATACGAATGCACCTGTTAATTAAAGATATCTAATTACAATTTATGATGAATCAGTAATTATTTAGCAACAAAAAGCATTACGTTATTTTATGCATTTACCATAAATGGAAGGTAATTTATCGCAAAATAATGAACTGTATAGGTACTTACTGTTTTTAATGAAACCATAAACAAACAATTATGATTAGAATCACGTTTTGATTTGATATACACATGCCTTTACCTGAGCCTACTTGAAAATATAGGTTACCTTGTTTTGGTAAGGCTATGGGAAGTAGCGGCCCATTGTTGAATCATAAAATACTTCCGACAAAACAAAAACAGTAGGTCTAATAGTGACATTGTCGGAGGACAATAATCGAAAAACAAATAAAAAAAAAAGAAAACAAAGGATTTGATCGCTGTACTTAATTAATCCATTAACCGATTCCTTCGGAATTAATGTATTTGGTATATTATCCCCACTCGTTTTAATTAATCGGAACTACAATTTACAATGTTTCGTTCAGAAGTTAAAAGATTTTAGTGTGTTGATACGCATACCGTTCGGTAACTTTTACATAGTTTGTTGTTAATGGCTCATGGATCTGTTTCGTTCACTGAAACGTAAGCATGCTTACAGATTAGTATAAAATATATCATAACATTTTGAACTTGCATTTCCCCATTTTGTAACATTTTAATTTTAATGGACTCTCTTCCTTCCACTTTTTTTATTTTATAAATAAACAACATTCAATATTAAATGGTTTATGTTATTGATTAGTTGAACGGTGAACAATCTAATAAATCCATTAAGATAAAAATTAAACAACATCATATAATTTTTAAATACTCTACGGAAAAATCCCATGAAAACAATATGAAAACAAAATGAAAATTATGAAACAGGATTAAAAATAAATTTTATAATCTCAAATTAAGTTTATTGGATTATTGAATTTCTAGATTATAGTAATCGTTTATTTAAAGAAAATGCGACGTTTAGTTTGTAACTTAGGAATCTTAACAAAATCTAAAATTAAAAATCTAAATATGTAAATGTAAATACGTGACAATTTGGTCATAATGAAAGTAATTATTGAAGGAATGGTACTCTTAATAGTAACACTGCACCATAAAGTAAAATGGATATAAATTAAATGTTAAAAGTTAAAATTTTTCCATTATCCATTAAATATTATCTGGACGCAATAATACTAATTATAGTTATCTTTATTACACTTCATTTATAAACTACTTTGCCTTTTCTTTTTTTTCTCGTATTTTGCAGGTATCGATTGACAGTTTACACATCTTGTAATTATAAGAGAGTTTTATTTGTTATTTAAATTTATCAGTAATAAAAAACTTTGAAGGTATCACCTCACTAATTGAAAATTTTATTTACATTATCACTTACTAATTGTAAGATCAGAAACAAGTTAGTTCGTGTATGACAAAGGATGATATTGTTATATATATTATATCCCAAAAGTATATCGGCATTTTACCATAAAATAATAAATCATTCTTAGCATAGCTGCGTATACTAAATTAAAATCACTACTCATTTATTGCTATTAGTAATTAAATTGAAAGCTATCCCAAAGAATATAAACGTGTAGGAAATACAAAATTTAAACATATACGAATTAGTGAGCATCAGTATCACTTTATAACAAAACACGTCTTTTCAATTTTGTCAATAATATAATTGCTTACGTCTGAAAGAAACCAGTAAATATTTATCAAAAGCTCAAGTTTGCAAGGTTTACAAAGAAGAAGATTGCAGATTTGTCCTTTGAGAAGGACCATCTGAAATTATTGCAAAAATAAATTTAGAGGATGCTTTAGGGTGGTATTCAGTTAAACGTTTTTCGACTCCACAGCTAGTTTTATCGGCAGGTGTAAAAGAAAAATTAGTCATTGAATCATTAATTTCTACATTAAATTATATGGTCCATCTTGAAGGACAAATTTGCATTAGAGTAATTTTCTCTGCGAAATATTAAAGAATTTGCTATAATGGTAAATTATTTATATTTAGAATAAAATAGTAAAATAATAAATAAGTAGTATACTTAATCCTTTTAATGAAGATTGTGCTAAAGTTAGACTTTTAATTAAAACAGTGAAAGTAATAAGTAGAATTATTGCAAGAAATGTTTTTTTATTGTGTGACTTTATTTTTATCATTATTTACATTAATTAATCGGCTTAACGAGGATTCTAAATCAATAAAAATAGAGTCAATTCTTCCAATTTACGCATATAAAACTGTATCTTTAGTGCAATTTGGTCACAAATCATTTTTTTTTATTACTAGAGTATTAAAAAGCCTACACAAAATAATTTATAACGTCAGTAAAATATTCCTTTCTTTCTACTCTTTTTTATGTCTTCTTTTACCGCAGATAGTTGTATAAAAATAATTTATTTATTGAAATTATTAGTAATTGAAGTGTTTTGCAGGTCGTGGTGGTACTCATTCTGCCTCAAGTGTAGATCAAAGGAATCGCATCCATCATGGCGACCGTCATTTTGGAGCAAAGCTTGCCCTTATCCTTTTTGTCCCACATACCGTCAGTTTTCCAGAATAGTCGCTATCTCACTGATAGGGTTGCTAGCGTGGGGAATAGTCTATTCTGTAATTGGAGATACAGCCGCTCCCGGGGGACAATTATTTCAGTTAATTTTTCTCAGTATAGCCGCCCATTTCGGGGGTTGGCTGATGACACTCACCACACTGCCAGCTCTTATAGGAATGCTTGCAGTCGGCCTTTTATTTGGAAATGTTGGTTTAGTAGAATTCGATGATTCATTTGCGGAAGTAACCAAAGTTTTAAGGTGAATATTCAAAAATTTCCCTTCACTTGTTTACTAATCTCCCAAGTTCATATGCATCATTTATATGTTTCCATTTTAGAGAAATTGCATTGGTTATTATCCTAACTCGAGCAGGATTAGATTTGGATCCGCAGGCTCTTAAAAAGCTAAAATTTACAGTTCTAAAACTCGGTGTTGGTCCTTGGCTAATCGAAGCCGCTGTAATTACGGTTATGTCCCGATTTCTTCTTCAACTTCCTTGGGACTGGAGTATGCTTTTGGGATCTATTGTAGCAGCCGTTTCTCCAGCAGTCGTCGTACCATGTCTGTTTCGATTACGCAGAAAAGGATACGGAGTTGCCAAAGGCATTCCAACGCTTATAATAGCGGTTGCTGGAATAGACGATGCCCTATCAGTAGCAGGCTTTGGAATAATTAGAAGTATCATGTTTTCGAACGATACATTGCTAATGCAGATTTTACAAGGTCCAATTTGCGTAATTGGCGGAATAGGATTCGGGATACTATGGGGAGCCATAAGCAGCGTTGCCCCCGAGAGATACGATCCTTTTGTTGTACCTCTCAGGATTATTATGTTGCTGTCTGGTGGACTGATCGCGGTCATGGGAAGCGAAGTGATAGGATACAGTGGAGCGGGTCCTTTAGGATGTGTGGCTGCAGCATTCGTGTCGCTATGCTTCTGGACCAAACAAGGATGGGAAGTGGAAGACAATCCTGCAGCTATAGCCTTTGAAATATTTTGGATGATTTTTGAACCGATATTGTTTGGCGTAACTGGAGCGCAAGTTAAATTTTCTGAACTGTCACCTGATGTAGTGTCCATTGGACTTGGATGTCTTGTTGGAGGAATCGTTCTGAGGATATGTGGAACTGCCCTGTTGGGAATCGGTTGCAGACTGAATTTGAAAGAGAAATTTTTCGTCGGAATTGCTTGGATGTCCAAAGCAACTGTTCAGGTAATTCATAAACACAAATACTTGATTTTTGATTTGGATTTAGACAACGACGAATTCTTGATACATTATCTTTAGACAGAAAAGTTTAGTAAGTTCTATTTGTTCAATAAACACCATTTTACTTTGAAGAAGCTTCACTATTTTGGTATTCAATTTACTATCTCCAATTAATATGATTTAAAATTCTGTTTGCAGGCTGCATTGGGTCCAATACCATTATCGTTGGTGGGGACCAATGCCGACACGACCGAATATGCAAACAAAGTGCTAATGGTCTGCGTCTTGTCCATCATACTGACTGCTCCAACGGGAGCAACACTAATCACAATTTTCGGTCCGCGGCTTCTTACTAAAACTAAAATTCCGCACATTCCCGAAGGATGGAGACGAAGTCATCGTCCATCGATTAGGGATATTAGTATTATCGATGAAGATGAGGAAAGAACTGATAGCAGCATAGAACAATCCAATGGTAATGGTATTGGGAAGATGACGTCCCAAACAAAATTGGACGTTTAATAAGCCATGGTAATGGTAAATTAGCGAAGAAAATAGAAATGAGATTTGTGCTTTATGGAACACAATAACAAAATTTTAAATTTATTGTGCCCAATACCAATGGAAAATAAGTCAAGATTACTTATACGTATGGCATCAGCGAATCATAGTGTAAAATGTGAGCATTTTGCTACTTAATATTAGTGATTTTATTAAATCTAAATTTTAATAAATACCTTCATTCTCGTCCCGGAAAAAAACGTAGCTGTGCTTTTTTTGGAATTTTGTATACGACGAGAGAAACGGTAGGTACATTAAAAGAATGAAATGTGATCGAACGATATTTAGAATGTACCTGTACCTAAATAATGCTGTCCTTGTATTTATGATATATACAATTGTACATAAAGAATATCTGTAGATAAGTAAATAAAGAGTTCTTGTTATTAAGAGTATAAAGTCGTGGAAGGGTTAGTAAATTTTTAGTTAGCATTTAATTGAAAAAAACAACAACAGAGTAGCCTTAGGATATGATGATGATAATGATAATAATAACAAAAATAGGAGATTCTCGACAATTCATGTCGTTACCGTCTTCACCAGACGAATTATAACAATCATAAGTATAAAAAAAAAACTTTTGGGTGTTTCATTCCCACCAGCCAGTAATGCTGGTGGGCGGGCAGTCCCTCCGGACTACGCCGGAAGGTAGGGCGGAAGGCCCTCTTCAGCCTGCTTTCAGGAATCGTGGGAATGGGTGGGTGGTGGTTCGGGTGAGAAAGATGAGGCGGGCGAAATGAAGACAGAAGAGAATGAAAGATTATCTGTGGAATATTAGTGTCCCAGCATTTACCTAAGTGATCCAAGGAAACCAGAGAAGAACTTGGACCAAGGCAGACGGACCCGGAATCGAACCGGTGTCCTCCAGAATGCTAAGCAATGGTCTAAACCTCTAGGCCATGCCGCTCGGTATCGTAAGTATAAAAAGAAAGGATGAAGTTTGAAGTTTTATAATTTTTTATTTTATTATAAGAAAGACTGCACATGTGATGTGCGTAAGTTCGTATGACAATCATACACAACCAGTCATTGTTTTCATTAAATTAATTATTTACACATAACAATTATTCCAAATAGATGGAAAGCAATGGTATACAAAAAACGTCCGACGCAAAGTTTCTTTTAAAATAGCAACAAGCCCCCTATAAACAATACCTGCGTCGCAAATAATTCGTTGCTATAATATAATAATTAATGAAGAAACCAAACAATTTCAAAAGCAATTATTTTCCATATATTTTTCGTATTTACAATATGTCTTTCAAATTTTAAATACTTAAATCTTCTTAATATTTAACGTTTCTTCAAGGAATATCAACAGGTTTTTCAGAAATATGTATTGTAGAAAAAAACGTCAACTTGAATTTGTCTCGCAAAACTAAATAAGAAAAATTGCACTTTCATTTTCACTGGTACAAATATTATTTAGTTGGTAACAGTAGCAACGCTGCATTGAAAGGGGAAGCTGGTAGTAACACGTGGGTATCTACATTTCAATCCGACACGAAGTACAATTTTTCTTATCAATTTAAAATAATCTACATATATTATGTATATATACAAAATTTCCTCCTAGTGAAATTGGTCAGTTTTGTCTTAGATATTAAGTACAGATTACTCATTGTTTCTTTTTTTAAATTATTTATCAAAGAAGTGAACAATCTTTACTAGCCACTTACCCCACTACTAACATATAAATTGAGGTGCGACACATTCAACTGGAGTATATTATAAATAATAATTTAACTCAACATTCAGTTAAGTATCTTTTTTTTTCTCCTAACACGTTTGATTGTCTATCGTTCAGAACAAATAATTAGGTAATAATAATAGATATTATCTACGATAACAAGTAGTACAGTGGATAATAAAAACTGTTGGACTTCCCGAAAATCCTACCTTATTTTTCATTTCCCTATAATTCATTAAAAATTTCCTAGTTCAGTCATTGCATAAATTTTACGCACTAATATCACTTCGTATTTAGAAACTAGGAATAAAATTTACGAACAAACTTAACAAACTGTATGTAAGTGGTCAGTTCTTTTTATTTTGTTTTATTATAAGAAACAACCAAACGGTTTTATTATTAACAAACAATTTCTAAACTTCTTAGTTAGGTATATCTATCCTGTTAAAGCCGGATGTAATGTAATAATAATATTAAATCGCTAAAATTGAGCTATTACTGGCGTATATGGCACCAAACTGGTCAAGACCTGATAAAATGTCTGGTAAGGTATTTAATTTTACGCTCTCGTTCTACGGAACACACCATTAAGGCAATTTTACCCATTTTGCCCAATGCAAGCATTAGAGTAGAAGATAATCCGTTGAGAAGTACATACTATTCGTAATATCTTTGGCTACGGTAATTGTCGTGGTCTTCAAAATCCATATTGGAGAATCTTTCTAACAGTTCTTGTCGATAATTCTTGCCTTCACCTTTCGCGCTATTATCTTTCCTTCTTTCTAGCAACAGGGAAGATTTCGGATCCATTCCCGTTTCATATCTCACATTATCATCCCTGTATCGTTTATCTTCTGCTCGTTCGTAGTATCTATCTTCTTCTGGTCTCCTCCTCATCTCTCTCCGTTCGTCGTACCGCCAACCGTATTCGCGTTTTCCTTTTGTTTCCACTCTGTCATCTCTGAACTCTTTTGGGAATTGTTGCCGATAGAAATATTCATCCGATGGACTAAGATCACCCTGTACTTCTTCCTCAATGGGTTGCTCCGTAGACAGCCTCCACTAGATAGCATTGACAGCTCTTCTTGAACTTCTATGAGAAGGATATTCTTCATCTCTACTTACTCTATGATCCCGAGACGGTGCCCTGTCTAACGTTCGCTCATAAGAGTGATTGGGATAATCTTGGCTGCCAGCTATATGAGCTGGAACCGCGTGAAGCTGCGAATGAGCTTCCTTGTCTACATAATCGTCGTATTCTCTTTGCCTTTCTAGCCTCGACCGGCCTCTCTGATGGCCTGCATGAAACATCGTGGAACCTATATTCGTTTTTCTAATGTTAACTTCTCTTATTCTGTTTAAAAGACGCTGCATTTGCATTTTTTTTAACTAACACACCAGAAACACCATCAAAATTACAAGAGCAAAGCTAAAAACTACTTGATTTTATTTTTTAAGTATAAAATGAAAACAACTCACACTTGCACTAGATGTTGCATTCCATCCGAATGATTTTCAGTAACTCAACGCTGTTTATAGCAAACAAAGTTTAACACTTTTTTGAAGTGAAACTTCTTTACGCACGGTAGGGTAAGTTCGTTTCATGCGAGTTGCTATGTAACAAAATCATGCAACGGATGTCCCCCTCTACTCGGCCACGTAGTCGAGTTCGTAGTGGGGATCGCTTGAGCCGTGAGCGCGCTTCAATGCAACGTTCGTTACAGGCAACTCCGGCATGTATAGTGTAAAATTTAAATTCATAGTGTACAAATAATACCATTAAACCAATTCCTTAACCACTATCCCGGTATGTTTGTGTGTTTGAAGAAGTTTCACTTCAGTAGCGTGTTGTATAATTACACGTTGTATTTTTTTTTTAATTTTAATATCGTACAGTCATCGATACGACTGAATATTACCATTTGGATAGGATACAATTATGGAAAACAGTTTCGTATTAGAACAGCTCCAAAGAAAACATTGCAATGCTTCAATTCACTTGCAAAGTGTCGTGTTAGGCAAAACTCACAAAAAAGTTACTACACGTTCAAACCTCCATCACACTATTACTTACAAAAGACGAATTTGCAATTAATGGCATTAAGCGAACAAGTCAGTCGAACCAGCTCGCCAAATTTTACCAGGACTGGGTGCAACTTCTCCCGCTTTCATTTTTGTTTATTGTTTTTTTTTTTTGAATTTTAATATTTTATTTGTTTGTATGGGTAGTGTGCGCAATAGCAAAGCGTAGCGTTAGAAAATTGTGCCAAGTGCCATATCGAAAATGAAACAAAAAGAAAAAGAAACTCATTAAGATCGTGCAAGCTGAAAACCTGATTGAATAAAAAATATAACCGTACTTCTATTTCTAATAAACAATTGGAATCGGCGTCATTGAGCCAGTGAAATCTGAAAAATTGATTAACCTATCAAGAAACAAGGAAAAACAAACATTCGCATCGGTTGTAATGTCTGTATTATTTTAAGTACATTATTATTGCCTAATTTTCAACAAAAAATTGATACTAAGAACTGTAAAAGTTAAGAAACATCACAAGTGATGTACTCACTTCAAAACTGATTTTTCTGAATAACCAAATTCAGCACTAAAATTTTATTTTTCAAAAAGTTTAAAAATATTGAATAGGTAGGTAATATTAATTGTCTGAATTTAAAGTTGTGTTCTTTTCCTATTTAAAAATGACAAATAATATAAAACGTTTTTGTATAGATAAATTACAATAAAAAGTAAATAAATTTATCTTTTATGTTCGAACTATTTTGATGTGCAATATAGTGAAAATTAGTGTATGTAAATCGTCAAAGCGGAGTATTTAATTGAAATTTATATTTCACTGTAAAAGTAATAGAATTCAGGATTAAAATCGAATAAACACTAGGTTTGTCTAATGGTTTAAATTTCAAACAAACAATTCAAATGTCTGATTAACAAGTGGAGTAAAATTTTATAACCGATTCAATAATCGTAAATACTCTCAAAAACAATCAAGTATAAAACAGGTATTAATAGTAATCAAATTGACGTAAATAAATTTTTAGAGGTTTGTTAAATATTGTAAAAAGAATTTGCAGCTTGTCACCGGATATAAAAAGCACCTTATCAATCACTTTTATTTTCAATTGTTGTGAATATTAATAGCTTTAACACTAGATTAAACAATTTTATTTTATTTGGTTGCCATTCCAAAATCAAGAATGACACTGATTCTCTCATTTGTAATGTTTCTTTTGCAAAAAAGATGCATGTACCTAATAAATAATAAACGAATTATGGTGAATAAAGTTTAGCGGTAACGATTTCTGCAGCAGTAAATTTTAATGCACGAAAATGTGATCTGCAAAATCGGACGTAATAGTTCTACTAAAATGCATGAACGACATCGCACACATGTATCAATTTTTTTAACATGCAGAGTTTACAAGAACGATAGCGACTCTAGTGAATCTACTGAATCCCAGCTTTGCAGTCCAATATATCTAATACCTGAATTTATACCTCTAGAATCGTGACTGTATCCGTAGACATCGTGCTGAGCTGAAAATTAGTAAAGTTAGTGTGTTATGGGATGTTAGTACTTAGAAGTTTTAACAACAGCTAAAGCGAATTCGAGGACGTAGCTAAAGCTTTTCATCTTTTCAGGAATAGTGATGAACTAAATTTGTCTATGTCTTGCAGTCCGATGAGGACTGCTTTTATATACTTACAAGACCAAGATCATGTCCGAACTAACAAGACCAAAACTAAAACCAAGACCAAGACCGAATATGCAAGATCAAAACCAAATACGCAAAATTTTTATTTCCGGCGAATTTATGAGTCAAACTGTGTAAAGCAACTTTAATATATATTTTTTTCTTGGAACAAAACATATTTAGTATTTGAAATTTTCAGTTTGTTTTCAGATTTTAACGCTTTACCACCGTTTGAAAAAAAGAATCTACAAGAATGTCTCCTGGAGTAAGTGTTCTTTGTTACCATGTTTGCATAATAGATGGTTGAAAATTGAAATATAGAAACAAACTAATTTTTTTCGATACGTTTTACTTCCTTCAAGTACCTTCTACTATTTCGTTCGCTAAAACGTCAATTTATGTATTGGGGGAAGGGTAAGTTCTCAAATTTTTATATCTCTCACAACTATTTTCTTTTTCTTTAAAACTCAAAACAAGATCGCATTTATGAGACGAAGTATTTGAGCAACACCAATACCAAGATCGAATAAGTAAGAACAAGACCAATACGTATAAATTTATCTAATTGTTAAAAGTTTATGATTTGAATTAATTATTATTAGTATTAATGTTGTTATCAAAATAATCAGTTTGTCTGCAATTACATATGTGGGTGAATGAGTAGTATTTTTGGTTATTACGAATCAATATGTTAGAAGGCAAAAGCTTTAGGAGGTATAAATTCTGGGCCATACTAATGATAAAAAATTGTTGCAACAAGCATTTACGTCGATTTCTAAGCATACACCTACACAATCTTACATAGGTGCAATTAATTGGCGCTTGATAAACGATAATAAATACATTCCACTAATAAAATACGGAAAAGAATCTCAAAAGTCATAAACTTTAAAAAAAAATATGAATACTTAAAAAATTCTGAGAAGTAACTAGGTATATTCTCAGAAT